CAGTTTCTGTCAGTTCAATACAAGTTAACCATATACAAACAAGTATTAAAGCCAGTCTAGATGTATGACGCAGAGTTATGGGTTTGTACAAACAAAACTAATATAGAAGTAACGTAGCGCTTCCGGAATAAAGTACTTCGATCAATAGTAAACGATCGATCAATGTAACAACCGTCACTATAAAAATTAATAAATTGGCTGTGTCTCATCATCAAAGACTTCACCAGAATACAAGTGAAGAAGCCAACAAATTACTGGACACTTTTTTTTTTATTTTAATAATCGTTTCAATAATAAAAATCACAGAATGAAGAACAAAGCAATATGAATCACTTACATTTAAATATTTTATATTAAACATTAAATGATAACGAGTCTGCAATATATTTTTAAAAAATTTTAAACTCTTTTAACTAAAGTTAATGAGAATTATAAGGTTGAACATATTTAACCTCATCCATGTCCAACTATTGCCCATGAGTGACAGTCATCCAAACCCAATCAAATTAGTCTCCTTTCCCTTTTAAGACTTTTAACATACATTCAAACTTTAAAAGGTCATATTTTTAAGTACTCTATAAGTTTTAACTAAAAATAATAAGATATAGCATAACAATCGCAACAATGTCATGCAAACCAGGAGATGAAGTACTTGAATTTCATTTAAATCTTATACTATTAAACCATTAACAAAAATCAATCTATATGTTATGCAAGCATATATATTTAAACGTTTTTGACTAAAGCAAATGAGAATTAAATTAAATTAGAGGTGAATTAAGAGTGTATAAAAATATCAAGCTATAACTTCTGCGGCCCAGAACCCAGAATGCCATTAAGCTACAACATGACTAGAGCAGACTATGTCTAGAAGAAAAGCAAACAAAGATGCATATATTGTGCCGATGTTCAGTACTGGCAAGCAGGACGATGACTGTCTTGGAACACCATTGAGTTGGTGATGACTTGTCTGCCAACCTCAAGCTAAGTGAGCTGCTTGCAATAAAAAGAGATATAATTATGCGAACGGAAGCTATTTTAGCTTTAACTCAATAACAACATTCAAGAATCGATGGACGAAAAAGGATCCAAGTTGTTTCGTGGTCTACTTCGGCTAATCATTCATTTTAGTAGGGCTACTTGGGGCCACACAATATACATAAGAGTAAATTATCAACTTCCTGTAATAATAAAGTTCTCTACTCTGGAGAAATATAACAGATTTTTTAGATTTAAACTTTCAAACCATGTCAATTGTATTAGTTTCATAAACGGAAAATTATCACATTGATATCAGTCTCATCTTATGAGTCGTCTGTGTTGTCATAGGTCTACAATTTTTAGTTTTTTAACAGAATTAAATTTTTATATGTGTAGATTATTATACTCAACTCATCATAATGCAGTCCATTTCATATGTTCAATTTTTCATACAAAATCCATACAAAATCAATATAAAAATATGCTGGAGGATCGATAAATCTAAGAAAAAGTTGGAGAATTCCTTTTATGGTCAAACTACTTTCATATAAAACTCTTTATAATTATATGCCTAATGTGGTAACAACAAATTTCGTCGTTGTCCGCATTTAATATAAAAAAATATTAAATTCGCAAAATGTAGTTAGGTACTTAGCATGCTAACATTTCAGTAGCCATTTTTATGAATTTCTAAAATGTTTATACATATCTTTGTACTACTTCTATTAAAAGTTACCACAACATAACGCGAAAATGGAATGCATCCTCCGAGACTTAGAGCACTGAAAAACAGAGAAAACAAGGTTTCGCATATTACTTAATAATTACATTTCAAAACTTTTTACAAAATTGCTTTGTTCTACTTTATGGTTGAATTTCAGTTACTAGTTTTGGAAAGAAAAAACCATTCTTCCCTGATGGCAGTTCGGAAAGCTTTAACTCCGTACATTTAACTAAAATCAACATAAAATGCATTTTTGCAAAATTAAAGTTTGCTGTTGAAGTTTTCTGTTTTTCTCTGTGTCGGTCGGAGTCGGTGGGTGTCGGTCCTAACTTTTTTTGGTTGAAATTTTTATTATTCGACTATTTTCTAAGGTTTTCTTTTTTATTTGCTTTTAAAGTAACTATTGTTAATTGAAATTTTGTTTACTGACATCTGGGCTTTGTGAGATGATTTAGGCTAACGTGAGTTACGACAAAAAATTATTATTATAATTATTTGACCTAAAGTAAAATATTTTTAATGGATGTTGTAATAAATAGTGTATTAAGATTATATAAAAAATGTGAGAAAGTTTAACAACTAGAAGGAAATCCTTTTCTGAAATAATATTAGAGAAGGAGTCAGCTCTTAACTCCCAACAAAAACAGTAAGGATTGATAAATTTCATTTATGTTTGATGCTATTGAAATTTTAAGTATGTCAGTGTAATACTTTTTTTAATTCATATCAAAACAGTTTAGTTTCAACTAAACAATATAAATTAAGAATCAACTAAGTACATCACACAATTTCATTATATCTTGTTATTGTTACTGAAGTACATACAACACAAATTATGGATATATAAAAAAAATTTATAATTAATATATAAAATTTTATTAAAATTTTAATCAAAATATATTATTTTGCATCCAAAGTCTAATGTTGAGCCTTTTCTGAGTTAGAGCATCTGAGCACCTTTATTCTTTGATAACTGAGAGGTTTCTGCAGAGTCCCACTTATCTCATTGACTTATTTGTGCATTCCTTATAAGCTTCGTGATTATTCAATAACTAATCTAAGATCTGCGTACCGCCATGACTGATTAGTGATTACTCTGAGATTAGATAGTGCTAAATAAGGCAGACTGTCGGTTTTCGCAAATAGCTTCAGGGCTCTGTCCCTTATGTATCTTTTGACCGGATCTATTTTAAGGTCTCTTAGCATGTCATTCGTGGGGCTATACCATGAAACTTTGTAGAGTCTTTGGAGAACCTGACTTTGAGCAACTTACAGCTTCTGGATAGTAGGGCTAGCAGCTTTCTATATGCAACACAACTATAATAGCGTTTGACCTATTTCTTTTCATTAACTGATTGAATGAAATATGATCTACAACTCCATTAGCAAATTATTTTCTATGGTATGGAGAACTCAAAGACACTCATACACACGATGTAAATCAGTGGTTTCGCGAAACGAAAGCCAGAATGCCATAGGAAAATACTAATTTCCTTCAATTCACTCCAAATGTATAATACATGATCAAATATTGAAACCCGTCTGGATGTATAGCGTGCTATGGCGTTAAGAATTAATGCAGAAGTTTCAATTTTCTGTGAGAAACGGATCATAGTACTCAAATCATAGTACTTAAAAAAACTACCGAATAAAAAGTAAACACTCTTAAATAATATCGTTATAAGTTAATTTATATTCATTACACAGATTCTCTAAATGACTTAATTAAGCGAAAATTATTTATTTTCTTCCAATCCATACATTCCCATGTCTTCAGCAACGCTTACAGCTGGTCCAGCAGCTCTTGGAGATTGCTCACTCATTGGCTTTTGCATACCGTATGGTGCGAATAGTAAGTTGACCGGTGACCAAGGTGGCAGCAGTGGCAACAATTGTGCAGGATTGGTTGTTGTTGGTACAGTTGTTTCCATTTTATTCGGTCTGTTCATACTGAACGAAGGTGTCAAAGGTAAATTAAATGATGACCAAAATGGGGATGGCATATTATATTGTGGCGCTAATGGTAGTGCGTACGGTGATGCAGAAAATTGTGACAATGGATAGGAGTAAGGATAAAATGGGAATGAAGAGGGATTAAATTGTGGATATGATTGTGGTCGAATGTATGGGTAGAAATTTGGATACAATTGTGGTTGTGGGTATGGATAGGAATTTAGAAATGGTAATGGTGGCATGGATGGATAACCGTTAAGTGGGAAAATTGGATTTGCTTCCTTATCCACATTAATTTGTGGAGTTTTGTTTTTATCAGTCAGTTCATTCGCTGCTAATTGACTTGCAAATAGTTTCTGCAAATCATTTAAAGTCACTGGTACTGCTTTGACAATCACTTCTTCTCTTTCCAATGGTTGTTCCTCCGCTAGCACACATGTTAGGAAAATTGTCAGAAACAAATAACTTAAGTATTTTGAACACATTTTATTATTATTTTTTAATTGATTTTGTTAGTTATATATCCTTTTAGTTGCTGTTGCTCTTGTTTGAAACACTTTACTACACTTTACAATACTATGCGAATTTCGTAAAATTCATTTGTATATAAACTCCGCCAATCTGTTAATTTATTCTTAGTTCTAGTTTTTTGTGATTAAGTCTAATTAAATCAATTTTTTATTTCTTTGTCCCACTTATTTTTGCTAAGATTTTATGTTAAGATATTGAAAACTGGTCTGTCCGATGTGTCTTTTTAGCCTTATTAGCCTAATTGGCCTAATTATTTACCTCATTTGAATATTTTTTGCATTACATGACAAGATACTATTCCCACTAAAAAGATGTAAATTAATTTACTCAGAAAAAAATCTTTAACAAGTTTCTACTATTTTTTAAGTCAATGGTGTGAGAAAAAACTTTAATAGTTTAAATTTTGTTTAAAAATTGTTGTTAATAGCACTATAATTTGGTTTAGTCATTATGGAATATTTTTTAACAATTTTTGTGATTTACATTGATCAAGTTTTTATAGGAAAGAACCGACCAAGAGCAGAGAGCGCAGTGTTTTTGAATTAACCAAAGAATAATCAATCCGCAAGCTTATCTGATATTAGTTATCAACTATATTATGATTTCTCTCTCGTAAATAGAAAAAATATTTTAGCGAAAAGCTATAATATATTTTATTATTCAAATCAAATGATAGATTAAAGGTAATTAAATTTTCTGTTTTTAAAGTCAGCTTTATAGGTATATTTTACTTAGAATATGTGTGGGAGTTTTATTTGGCCCCACATCTGAGACCATTACTTAAACCAATATTGGTTATTAGTCCAAATAAATGATCAAAGTTAATTATAAATTCCAGGTTGAATTTATTTTGTTGTGAAAAAAAGAGTTAGTACACTGCGACCTAAAAGAACTATTGTGCCCCTTAGTCGGATTGGTATGTTTCTCAAAGTCCGATTTCTCAGTGTAGACTCTATTTTTCCTAGTCTTGAATCCCTATGTTCCATGAAATACCCTCCTAGGTGTTTCTTTCGTTTATGCAACAGTGCCGGGCACTCTCATAGCACTTGGTATGCATAAACCGCATACTCTCTTTCTCTCTCTCTTCTCTATAGGTTGAATAAAAAACTAAAAATTTATTGATGGATTACATTTGGTATATGAATGAAACAAACCTCTAATACACTTGTTAATATAGAACAGTTCTTCCAACTTAAAAGCGTTATTTTTCGATAATAATGTGAATAGTTTAGAACAAAATTGACTATGTAAAATTCGTTAGATTTGCACAATGATGAAATTAATATTAAATAAAAATATTTTTAATAATTTTGCTTTATTGCCATAATAAACTAAATTTTCATATTAAAAAAAAAAAAATTATAAACTGATTGTCTGGTCAACTTCGAACATACCATACAAAAAGTTACAGTTTTTAATTCGAATAGAGAACAATGGATCTCGGAATACATAATAGACAACTTTTTTTTCTAAATTTTGTTGCTTAAAGCAAGTTCAAAAGAATTATTAAAGAATTTAGTAAATTTAAAATGTGAATGAACTATTTGAAACCGTAGGCAAATAAACAGCAAAATAATAAAAATGAAGTGTATAAAACACATGTCGAGCTTAGCTTAAAATTCAGTTTATTGATGAATTCTGAAAAGAATCATAAAACATATTTTTTTTTGTCAAAACTACGAGTACGAAAAACTATAATTTATGGTTAAAGTGAAAATGTATTCAAGTGACCAATAAATAGTGATCAGTGACAATTTTACTAGTACACCAAAAATTTCGTTTCTACATTTATTTAAATTAAATTAATAACTACAAAAAAATTAAATAATTATGCTTTATACCAGTGTTATATATATTTTAAGCATCATCATTGCATTTATTAGTGCACAACCAGTGCAACAAACAGACAGTCAGTATTGGCCAGAAAGAACGCCTCGTAAAACATTTCTGATATTAAATTATGATTCACCTAAACAAATATATACACCAAATAATTACAATAAACAAAAACAGAAACAAAATCAAAATCCGTATCGTCATGTTCGAGTTAAGAAACCTGCTAAAAGAAGACAACTCAATATTAAGAAAAAACATGCTGTGAAACAAGGCCCAGTGTTACAATATATACCAAGCAATTATCCATTCACTAACAATCCTTATTACTTACCAAACTATTATCCAATATATTGGTATTATAATCCAAATAATATATACAATCAATTTCCTTCTACTACTTTAACTCCAAATATAAATCAAAAACCACACCCAACCATATCAACCATTAATACATCTAATTTGATTGAAAATATCAAACCTTCAGCGGAAACATTAAATAAACCTATTCATGTATCTTCAACGACAGCTGCTAATATCATAACAAACACCACAGAATCTACTACTGCAGCGACTGCAATCTTGCCGATAGATGTGTCATCAAATATTACGAACACTAGCACCAACGTTAGTAGTTCCATGGAAACGCCTGAAACTACAGACAAACCAATTGCAATCACTAACATAATGGAACATAATAATAATGAAAATATTCCACACTTTACACCAAACACTACTACCAGTAATCCCATAGCAACCACAGAAAGTACAATCAATCCAATTAAAGAAGGAATTACAACAGTATCAAGCTTAGTATTAAATAAAACTGAAAGTACAATATTACCTAATATAGGAACTGACTTAAATAATATGCCAACAACAACACCAACTCTTGACACTACAGTCATACTGGAACTTAATGCGAATAAAAATAATTTATCAACTACAATGAATACTAGCAATGAAGTTAATAATTTATTATTGATTATTGAAGCCACAACAATACCAGATACTGAAACTGAAGCTGAATCAACAATGGTTGCAGAATTGGAACTTAATGAAAATGCAAACAAACCTTCACCTTTACCTACGTCATTCACCACAGAGAGTATGACAAAGCCAGTTGATATTACAACTTCACCTTTTCTTATGTTAACTACAATGAATACTAGCTCTGAATTTAATAATTTATTATCGAATACTGAAACTACAATAGGACCAGATGCCGAAGCTGATTCCACAATGATTATTGATTTCGATTCCAATGAAAATGAAAATAAAACTTCACCTCTGTCTATATCATTCACCACAGAAAGCACGACAAACACAACTTCACCTCTTCCTATCTCAACTATAATGAATACCAGTTCCGTAATGAACAATTTGTTTTTGATGAATGAAACTACATCAATGCCAGATATCGAAGCTGAATCCACAATGGTGACATATTTAAATTCCAATGAAAATGAAAATAAAACTTCACCTCTGTCTACGACATTCATCACAGAAAGCACGGCAAAGCCAGTTGAAACAATCACTTCATCTTTTCTTATGTTAACTGCAATGAATCTTAAAACTACAATAACACCAGATATCGAAGCTGAATCGGATATCAAAGAAAATGAAAATACAAATTTACCTATTGCATTCACCACAGAGAGTACGACAAAAGCAATTGAATCGGCAAGTTCATCTCAAGCTATGTTATTCACCACAGAGAGTACAAAACCACTAAATTCACCTAAAACTACAAATTCACCTTTACTTATGTTATTTACCACAGAGAATACTATAAAGCCTGTTGATACCACATTTTTATGGGAAAGCAATGGAAGCGAAAATATTTTATTAGATACCAGTATATCTAATATTAACAATATTATGCCTAACAGAAAAGTGCAAATGGATGTACCTGAATATGAAGAAGATTTTTCCACATTAATTACCACATTGGCACCTAATGAAAGTAAACCTACTTTGTCATCTTTAGTAAAGCTTGAAAAAGAAACTAATGATGATTTATCTTATACCACAGCAGAATCAGTTGAATCTACAACCATATTGATGCAAAATATAAACAAAGTTACTCTATCAAATACATCAAATACTACCACCAATGTAAGCATTTCAGAGCCAGAGAGTATAACAAAATTAATTGAAGCTGACATAGATGATTTCACAACTGTTCCAAGATTAGAAACTAATACATATGAAACTACATCCAACCGTTACTTAAATTCTGACACTTCAGCTATATTAACACATAACAATAATGAGAATCCTTTATCAATCAATGATAACAGTGTGACCACATTAGTAATCACTCAGCCAATACATGAACCTATATCTACTATAACATTGGAGAATATTGAAAACGAAACAACTTCATCACCCAAGTTCAATAATGTAAGTCAAAAAGTTTATCATCTATTTCCTCAAGAAGCTACAACAAAGCCAATTACAGAAACAACTACTATTTTAGAGCAATATATATCTGAAAATCTAACAACAACTATGAGAACCACGGATGTTAACCATAATCCTATATTATCTAAGAGAGTACTAACAGCGGAACAGCCGGTCAATAAAACAGAAACATCAACAGTATTAGAATATAACAAAAAAAAAACTACATCTGATTTATTTGATATTGGAACCGAGGAAGCTGATAGGTTATTCACTACAGAATCTATTACAAAACTCATGGAAGATAGTGGTGAAAAAGTGGAAGAAAAACCAACATTAACATACAACGAAGATAAAAGTACAGTACCTGGAATTTCAAATCTTACAACTGAAATTATTGGAAATATTATAGAAACCACTGACAATCCCTCAGTAGAAGACGTAAAAGAAGTACATTATACTACAACTTTAACACCTAATGAAGACCAAACTAGTAACTCAATACTTTTAACTTCAGTACTATTAGAACAAAACAAGAATGAAATTCCAAATTCAATTTTACTTAATCCAAAAAGTGACTTAAATATGAGAATATCTACAGAACCAATATTGGAATCTGTTGAAGGTATCACACCAGCAAATATAATTATCACAGCATTTGATCAGAATGACAATATGGATTTACCAAATGATAAAGGGTCAACAGAACCTACAGATGTGACAACAGTAAAATACTCATTCACACTATTTCAACAAAGTGGAAATAAGGATACAAGCCCAACTTCATTTAATGAAGATATTGATTTCAATATGCATATATCCAGCATAAAACCTGACTTGACAACAGAAATTTTTGCAGCAGAAAATTTAATTTTGGCTCAAACTGAGAGTGAAAGTTCTACTACTTTAAACAATGAAGCAGTACACAATACTATGATAACAACCGTCCAGCCCACAGTTTCTACGATAGGAAATAATTTCAATTCAAATATCTTAAAACCAATAATATTTTCGGAAATAAATGTATATGAAGACAATTCCAGCCCAGTTATTAGCGATCATAATCGAAATGAAAGTATAAATTTATTGCTAACAGATAATAGCACAGAAGATAGGAATATATTCACATCTACAATATTTACTAAAACAGACGATGTCAGAGACAAATTAATAGCAACACCAAAACATAACAATAATAAAAATTCAACAAGCACTTTGAACCCAAACAAAGCACCTATAACAGAAGAGGATATAACTGATATGACTACAGTAGCTTTACAACAACTAGAGAGTGAAGCCACAACTACCGACGTATTTACAACCACAGAGCCTAATGAAACATATGACTTAGAAAATGTTACTAGTATACAATCAGATCTTAATGAATTTGTATCAAAAGTTGATAAAAATTTGGAGAGCAATGTTGATAAGTCAAATAAAACCGCTAATCTTATAGAAACTGCACTAACAGGAAATATAACTACAACATTAGGTGAACTAGAAGAAGATAAAACTATAACTACACCTCTACTTAGTACTGGAATGGAAGATAGTGTTGACGTTTCAACCATAGAACCTATTACTGAAGAAAATCCTAACCTATCAATTACTGTTAATTTGGAGCACATTATTGCGAATTCTACAATAAATCCTATTGAAGATGAGAATACTTTCACTGAAAATGAAACTATAACAACAGCTGTATCAGATAATAGCAATAAAGAAGATAATTTTATGTTACTAGTGCCAATTACACCTAAACCAGCTGAGGTTATAGAGTTATCTTCTACAATCGTGGATCATGAAACAGAAAGCATGCATACAACAACAACTGATACACCAACAGAGCAGTTTACAACAACAGAAGTGAGTAACCCTTCTGTTACTCTGATGTTGCAGAAAATGAAACCACTATCAAAGAAACCGAATGATGATGAAAAAGTAACAGATATGGATTCTACTGAAAATAAATCCTTAGACTTATCTACAATCATCGAAACTAATGTAGTAACTTTAAATAAAGCTGATATGTTATACGCTGAAGACACAACACCTGACACATTGTCTGATGAAAATACTACAACTACCACTTTAGCTGCTGAATATACTACAACTACCACATTACCTGCTGAATATACTACAACTACAACATTACCTGATAAAAATACCCAAACCACCATATTGCCAGATGAAAATGAATATTCAATGAATGGCTGGATCACTACAATTTTACCAGACAGTAAAACTGGTACCACGAAAAACTCTCAAATAGAAACTCAAACAGAACTAAATACCTTAACTGAGAAAAACCAAATAACTACAGAGAAGAACGATATGATGAACTATAGTAGTCAAAACGTAAGCATTCTTGACAGTTCAACCATGGTTACTTTAAAATCTGATGAAATGGATGCAACTTACAATTCTCATGAAAATGTAAATGAAACAAATGATTACAATAACAATAATGATAAAGCTGAACAAAATTCGAATACAGAAACACCAAATCCTCTAGCACAAGTTAGCTTTTCTTCAGACAAAGTTGACTACGAGAAAGTTGCAGATGTTGATAGAGGAATACATACTAAAATTACAATACCAACTAATGAAGAAGACAGCAGTTTAAGTAATCAAACCACATCCAATTTAGCTAATAAAGATTCGAACATAATATGGTTAGATATAAAATCAGATACATATATTAAATCTTTTGGCGATTTAAATAACTCAAAACATCATTCTGAAATAGTTGATATTAATACATCAACTACACCTTGCATGGATATTAAATCTTCTGCTGACTTAATGAGCACAAATTTATCTCTTATAAGTAATAATAGCAATAATAGTCAGTTACTTTCAAACATCAAAGCAAATAAGAATTTCAATGAATTATTTGAAAATATTTCAAGTGAAAATAAAACTGCTACCAATTCAGATACTGAATCCATTGCTGTTTCAGGAACATCAATGAGACAAACTATGCCAATTACACATTTTGAAAACTTAATAGCATCAACGACAAACTCTATTCTAAATGAAAATATTTCGAAGCTTCATCAAACGCTTACAGGTACTAAAATCTCATCTAACACTAACAGCACAAATAGCAACTCAGAACAAAATACAAAAGCTGATGGAAATATCACCACTCCCGAAGATAGTTTACTGGTATCTGAAGCAAACCAACAAAAAGTCAGCAAAAAAGAGAAGCCCATTAAAGGAACCAAAACTCAGCATGTGTCAACTCCGGTACAAACTGATTCAACTAGCGTTGCTACATCAAACCGCCGTTGCTTGGAAGCACCTTCCCAATGCGACGAGAACTTAATGATTTTGCTAGCACAACGCAAAACTTACAAACAGCCAGCGGCATACTTCGTTTTCTTCTTGCGAACTCCCAACCAGAACGTTTTTGTTTAAATATTTCAGTTTAACTTCAATCAAAAATACCGGCTAATTCAGCATCAAATATTTGGTTAATATGCGAATATAAGAACCAACACACAGACATACATTTTGACAGAAATATTGCTATCTTCAACTGGTCAACTGCTTCAAGCTCTTCCAGCTCTTCAAGCTCCACTCAAATGTCTTTGCTATTTATTTTCGATTTGCTCGACGCTGCCAAATGGGTTAAATTTGAGTTGTTTATAGATACTTCTCTATTATCGCATTCGTTACGGGTGTAAGAGGTCAAAGATGTGAAATTTTATTTCAAAAATAGATACCGAACATATAAATATGCAAAAATCATCATTTTTGTTGGTTAGTTTTACTTTGAACTCGTTCAGCATAAATTCACTTCGCTTTCGTGCATTTTAATGTTTCGTTTTTAATATAAATAAAGAATCACACAAAATGTATATCATACACTTGGGATTTTTACTAATTATATGCTCAGTAGTTAACATAAGTGCCGTAACTTTAACGAAAACTGATAGTATACAACTAAGTAATTCAAGTACAGCCGGTGTACAAACTATAACAGTTACAGTATCTAATGTAAATCATCAAACTGCAAGTCCTAGCACAACAAATAAACCAACATTTGAAGTGAAAAGTGAAGAAACGCCACAAGTGCCCCAATCAAATCCCCCGGTTATCGTAAAAAAACATGTTAAACGCGAACCCAAACCTTTAAAAATTGTCAGAAATCGTTTGATCAAACCAGCAACGCAAACTGTGAATCGAAACTCCTTAATCAATTATCAACCAGAAGTTGTCGCATCCTATGTGCTACAATTCGACGATGAAGATGATGTTAGCGATGTTGAAAATGATGACTTTCGACCTTTGAGTAATAGTAATTTAATTAACCATTTGCGTCCTCAAAGAATTCGCTATGTTAACAAAAATCAAAAAAGAAATAATAACAATAGAAAAAATATTAGAAATCCACAAAATCGTGTGAGCCCAACTAGACGTCCATATAGAGATCAATATAATAGTAAAAGAGGTGAACACTTAGATGTCTTACCAAATAAAAGAATTACCAAAATCAATCGTAAGAGAATCAATAAAAAACAAACCGCTCAGAAGAAACAACAATTAAAACCAATTGAACAACCAGAAGCCAAGCCAACACTACAACAATGGCCATTAAATCTTCCAGCAGTGCCAACATTATGTCAACCCGCACAACCGGGCACAATAACCCTTACATTACCAAATCCAGTTTTTAATTCTTTGACTTATGCACCAATGATGACACAACTTGATCAGATACAAGCAAACCCACAATTAACCATTGAATTCTTGAAGGGTTTATTATCTGCTCTGCAAAATCCTACTGCCGAAGCAAATAACACAAACTTTTTATTAGGTGGTAATATCGGTAATATGCAACCAGTAACGCCAATTAAAGAGACTGTAGAATCTACTGAAGATGCAGAACAAACGGATATTGTGATCGATGCGAATAAAGACACTCCAGAAGTACAATTCAATGTTGTTCCAGTGATTAATAAGCGTAAAAATTCAGCTTCACTGCGTGTCGCTGAAGACAGTAAAGTTGTCATAGACTCAAGTAAAAAGACTACGGAAAGCTCTTAAGCTATATGACTTAGAGTTTATAACTATAATCGTTGAAATAAAATCAAATAAAATATAATTGTATTTATTAATTTTTGTAAAATTTATATTAAATTATTTTTATTAAAATAAACAATTATTAAAATAAATTATTAGTTCTACATTTTTAAAGAAGAACTGATTTTGAATAAATTGCAAGCTCTTAGACAGGTACATACGTAAGAAGCCCGCTTTTTATATTAGAGAAGGAATGCGGAGACGATAGATTTTTGCAATGATGGATATAAAGTAATATAAAGATGAAGAAGTAATTAGCTCTTAAATATTAAATATGAATTAACTATTCAAATAATCAACTTTTTTTATCCACTTCAGACATTTGAAATCTATATCCATTTATAGTAGAATTTCAGAATTTTGTGATTATATGTAAAAAATTAGCACAGTAGCTTTCCTTAGTCCTTATTTTTAAGATTAAATAAATTTTACAACAGAAAGAGTATTTTAAGAATAGAGAAGTAATAAGTAATAAATGAGAATAAGTAATAAACTGCTAATCTAATGGCTGGAGAATATATCAAATCTTTTCAATCACAGCAATAATTTTCTACGGAGTACAAAAAATGTGTACCATGTGTACCAAATTTAATTGTTTATGACCACTTATATTAAATTTCTTTCTGCTATTGCATTAAGACTAAATAATTCCAGAAAAAATCAGATATCATATTAAGTTTATCAATCAAATTTCATACTACTTTATCATATACAAACGCCTTTTTTAGACTTGCAGACTTTAATATAACTAAAGTCATCAACTTAACTCAATTAATACATACTTAAGTCAGATATAAGACTTAATTAACGACTATGAAATATTCCCTCGGTATTGCACAGGTCGAAATTGTAACTACTCACACAGCTGTTTTCTAGGTGTCCAACATAGACATATTTCCAAAGCAAAAGAAAAGGAATCATTTTTGATTGTTTCATGTCGTAAAATTTCTTCTCCACAAACTGCGTATATATCTCTTTCATCTCACTGCGTTTTTCTCTTATTATTGAAAAATAGAACATATTTAATTTCTTATGACATCCCCATGAAAGAGGTAGATATTCCTTAGCAATTGGGAAAAACAACGTTTTTTGGGTATTTTATGCCAGTCTTAAAGGAGTTATACTGAAATATGAGAAATCTGTATCTGGATTTGTTCATGCCTTGTTGCCTTTAGAGCAAGAGGTGCGTAAAAGTAGGTAAATGTGGCCATCCGCTTATTAAACTGCGAGCTGACACACTTTGCCTAAATTTCACATTTGCGTTCAATTTGTATGTAGTTTGCTTTTTTCTTCTGCTACTGGTTCAAATATGATTCTTCCTAATTTTAAAATCCCTATGTGCTCAAATCCATATTATAACCGGATATTATGTCCAAAGCCTGCAGCTGCAGTTATTTAATCTGCTGGTTAGAATAGTTAGAAATACAGAAAATGTGGCATTGTGGAAGAAGGCATCGCTTAATAGGTTCACTGGATATAATTTGATTTTTCCAGCTGAGTAATGATTTAATGTGATTACTGTTAATAAGTACTATAGCCAGCTACTATAGCCAGCTACTACAGCTAGCTACTATAGCCAGCTAATATAGCCAGGTACTACAGCCAGCTACTATAGCCAGCTACTATAGCCAGCTACTATAGCCAGCTACTATAGCCAGCTACTATAGCCAGCCACTATAGCCAGCCACTATAGTCAGCCACTATAGTCAGCCACTATAGTCAGCCACTATAGTCAGCCACTATAGTCAGCCACTATAGTCAGCCACTATAGTCAGCCACTATAGTCAGCCACACTAAGTCAGCACTATAGGTCAGCCACTATAGTCAGCCACTATAGTCAGCCACTATAGTCAGCCACTATAGTCAGCCACTATAGTCACCAACTATAGTCAGCCACTATAGTCAGCCTATAGTCAGCCCATAGTCAGCCTATATAGTTAGTCAGCCACTATAGTCAGCCACTATAGTCAGCCACTATAGTCAGCCACTATAGTCAGCCACTATAGTCAGCCACTATAGTCAGCCACTATAGTCAGCCACTATAGTCACCCACTATAGCCAGCTACTATAGCCAGCTACTATAGCTAGTCTTGAGATACAAAATATCAAGGAGTTGCACAAAAACGCAAAAATAATCAAATATCTCAATTACAATTCATGCAAATAACTTAAAATTACCTATTAAGATCATTTATCCCTACGGTTGATGCTTTTTTTTGAATTTTGGTGGTTCAAATTTAATTTTTTAAAAAATATTTTTAATCGTCTTTGGTATTCTGTATCTAAATTAATGCTATAAATACACCACCAATTAAAATATTTTTATATTTTGGATTGAAGAATCATTTTCCGAATTTATCTATAAAGTGGCTATAAGTTTTTCGTTTACTCAATGGATATAAAAACGTATATTTAAACAATATATTTAATAGTTTTTAATATTTGTTTAAAGTTCAATGCACTTACCTAACATAAAATATAAACTTTGCTCTTTAAACTTCTGTTTATATCTTTTTATAATCCGGGCTAGTAGAAGATTTTAAAGTGCACGCAATTTTCGGCTTAGGAAAAGGTCAATATATTGACAAGAGCCCAAGGCGAGTTCAGAAAACAAGTTCTTGAGATGTAAAGTATGTTTTTTACACAACTTAAGTATTTCTCTTGAAATGTGTGGAATTTTATATTTACAAACTCACAAATAATAAAAGTTTCTTTGGTGCGTGCCAACGGCAATTTTTATTGTTATTTAAATCTGCTTCCATTTACAAAAATGTATTGAAATTGCTTATATGATGAGAAAAAAACAATACAAACACTATGTTGAATCAAATTTAACTATAAATGAAAATATAATAAAAATGTTTGTTTTATATATAGTAATTTTGTCAAGCTATCAAATCTTGTTAGTTTTCTAAAGCATTTTGTGTAATAATCATGTTCTTTAAGTTGTCAGCAAAAATTTTTCAAATTTAATAAACAAAAGAATTTTACATGAAATTTTTAAAATTGTATATCAATTCACATAAAAAATGATTATAAAAATTAAATTAAACCAAGTATAAAAAAAATAACGTAATAATATTTCTATTAATATTAGAATCTAAGGCAATGATACTTAAATTTTTGCTCTATTTACTGCTACTAAAAAACTTGACAGCAAAAAGAAACTTTGAATATGGAAACTATTCCAATATGAGTGGCATAAATGGCTTATTTGCAATTCCGAGTCAATATGAAATCCTTATATATCCGCCACTCATTTTACCATATCCATTTCAACATATGAAGCAGCTTTCAATAGACAAACAAACCACCGCTGCAGTAAATGTAACGTCAAATCAAACTTCAGCACTGAACTCAGCGGTAACTGCAGCAACTTTGACGGAATCCAACAATGCAATAGCAAATATTACAACAATAATAAAATCTAATAAAGATGTAACTATGGCGTCAAATGTAGCAGCACCACAACTGAGTTTGAGCACAGAACGGCCACTTCATCTAAATCCACACTCAGCAGCAAAAACAAATAAAACAAATGCTCAACTCATTTACAAAGTTAGAAGCAATAAAAAGTTGACAGAAGCCACCACTTCATCTCTACACTGGAATAGAAATTTTACATGGGTTCATGTCGATCAGGTTTTAGCCGGGCTGCTGCCAATATCGGCTTTGTTGACGCTTACAAAGCCGGCAATAACAATTTTCAACTCAGCAAAGCGAAAGCCGAGACTCATCCGCAAGAAGAATTTTTATGCTCGACAGATGAAGAACAAGATTAAAATATTTAAATTGTTGAGATATAAAAAAAGAAACCAAAAATTTTAAACAAAAGACAGACTCGTATCTATAATTTTTCAATAACAACAGACTTTATGTGTGGAATACAGTCTTGTGTGCAGAAATCGTTGACCCGTTGGAGAAGAAACTGTTATAATAAATAAATTTTCTTAATAAATTTATGCAAATTAATTTCTCTTAGCATTTAATCATATCTAGAGTTATATATTTTATTAAGACAAGCTCATTTAGATATATGTATGTTTGTAAAATTTTTTAAAGAAATCTATTTAGTATAGCAAATTTAGTTAAAATAATTCACACATATGAACATATATTTTATTCTGTATTTTAGCTCATTTCTATACGTCTATTTTTTAATTATAATAAAATTATAAAATAGAAATCGTCAATAATATTAAGAAAAATAATAAGATCAAACATTGAAAAAAATATCCCAAATACTTAGTCGACTTACTGTTTTCTACACGTACCCATTTACTTAAGGAATTTTCAAAAAACGTCTTTCATACAAAACAAGCGATTATTTCCGAAATGATAAAAGGAAAAGAATTTTTTTTTGGGCAAAATAAATTATCCAATTAAATAAACAATACAAAACTAATGAAAATAGAACGAACTTTTACAAAATACCTCTAAATATTCAAAACGATTCTAAATAATCTAAAGAAACAGAAGCTTAACTGAATTTTTCAAGAAAAACTCAAAATTTTAACCAGCATCTACAAGTATTTGGATCTCATAGTTAGCTTAAGACGTTAAGGATACAAAACTAATAAAATATCTAAATATGAGCTCAGTAGATTAAGTAGTAAAAATTTGGAGGAACGTAGATGTGAAGTATATTTAATTACTTACTAATTTGGCTTTAATAACCCTTAACGGTATTCAGCCCGACGCAGCATTTTTCTTGATGTTGATCACTTCACCAGATATAGAAGTGATCACCTTCTTCCCCAACTACTGCTTCAAATAACTTTTTCACTGGACAAAATATATCTTCTTTAACAATTCTTACGACATGACCTAGCCACTGAAGCAGCTAGATGTTAATTCACTGAATTATATCAATGTCGTGATAAAGCTCATGCATCAATTTGTAGAGGACCAAAGATCTTATATAAAACTTTTCTCATGAAAACTCCCAGTGCTGCTTCATCATTCTGCGATAACGTTCATGCTATTGAGCCATACAGAAGCACAAGTAGGATGAACGACCTATTGAGCGTAAGTTTTGTTTGTTGAGAGAGAGCTCTACATCCCAACTACCTACTATGCTCCATAGTAGCATCTATTAGTAATGGTGATTATTCATCTGATCTACAAATGGACATCGTTATTGTTTACCATAACTGATTAAATTAGACTTACTTTTATTTTCAATATTCATCACTGTATAAAGTACCAAGGGATATACCTGATATATACATAAGATATATCTGGAACATCATGCAGTCATGAAAATGACTACATCTCTGGAGTTAAAAGTAGTCATTCTATGTACAATACTCTTAACATATTTATAGCATATTAAACATAGTTTAATCTAATTTTTAGTTGTTTGCAAAAATTATATGATATTAATTTTCGATCTGCGTTCAGACCTTCACTATTTCACTGCATATTTTGGTATCTGCCCTGATTATCACGCTATCGTTCGCCAATTCTGTGCGTTCGCTTTTATTTTTTTCACTATATTTTCGGGACTTATTGGTTCAATCCAGACTAATACCACTTCTTTAATTGTGAATGTATGGGATATAATTGGAATGCGTATTTTTGTTAAATAAATTGATAAATTTAATTTAATAATTGTTTAAAAATATACTACATTCATTCAATTTATTTATTACTAAAATTTTCGACCTGTGTTCAGACCTTCACTATTTCACTGCATATTTTGGTATCTGTCCTGAGATTATCACTCTATCGTTCGCCAATTCTGTGCGTTCGCTCTCATCTTTTTCATTATATTTTAGGGACTTATTGCTTCAATCTGGGCTAATACCACATCTCTAATTGTGAATGTATGGGATATAATTAGAATGAGTATTTTTGTTAAATAAATTGATAAATTTAATTTAATAATTGTTTAAAAATATACTGCATTCATTCAATTTATTTATTACTAAAATGTTTTCCTAAGCAAGTCTTAACAGAACTGTATTTTTTACCATCCACGTCCACTTCATATATTTTAAAAACCTACTATTTCTATTTCAGTTACTTATTTCCAATATTTGTCTCAAAGCATATTTTAGTTAACCTCTATTTTTTTCTTTTAAAATAATAATTTAAAAAAAATTTTTTTATAATACAAAAAAAAAAACGAAAATATCTATGAATACATTTTATTTTAATATAAATTTTTATAAAATTGTTGCTATTCTTATCTTAATATTTAAACTAAAAATCAGTCCCTTTTCGTTTTATGTGCATTTGAAAAGTATATAAAAACGGAAATCACCTACTAAACAAATATGACCAGTAACCACCATTCTCACTATTCGTCTTATGTGTCAATGTTGCATCCAGCGAATCTTCTTGATTGTTAAGTTTGTGTCCCTTTCGTATTTCCTTTGATTTCCGTGCGATTTCCTCATACAATTCTTCGGCTGCACTATCGAATATGGTATTCAAAAATTTTCTAATTTCCGCATATGGTAACGTACGCCACCAATTTGTCGGTGCAATTTCCGCTTGACTTTTTATGCGTTTGTCACCACTGCTATACGGTGTAGTAGCAACACTATCTGATATTGGACTACTGCTTTCTATATGCAACTGAGCTGTTGTGGTATCGTTGTCGGTATTGAATTGGTTTTGATTTTTCTTTAACTCAAAGGATTTGTTATTAGTGTTTTTCGCACTATTAACGCTGATATTTGGCAGTTCAGTTTCTGTATTTTTTGCACTACTCAACAAATGACCATAAGAGTTCCGTGCAACAGTGTTGTCAAAAGTTAGAGTATAATAAGATTTCTTATTATCATCCTCATCGTCACTATCATCACTATCGTCACCACTACCAAATTCTGTATCATCTTGATTAATGTCATGTGACATATTAGGCTGCTCAGGATTATTGCTAAAAGCATTATCATCATTATTTTTCTGATTTTTATCGTTTTGAGTGTCATATGTTTGTTTGTTATCCTCACTGGAAATGTCTATTGATTCTTTTTCATTTTCAATTGTTGACATTTTATTTGTTTCCATTTCTTTACCACTTGTACGTGTTATGCTGTCACTATTTTTTTTATGCACTTGCACGTTGATGTCCTTATAGGGCATTTCTTTGACATTTGCTGGCTCATGTTTGTATTCAGTATTAATGTTATATGTGTAGTCTCTAAAATGGTCCACTTCGTCATCGTCATCGTCATCGCCATCGTCATCGTCATCTTCTTCATCCTCAACAGCAACAATATCAACAGTATCATTATCATTATCATCATTATCATTATTATTATCATGAGTATTATCATTATCATTATTATCATTAGCAACATCAATGTAGTCCACTTTATGCTCCTGCTGAAGTGTGTGACTGTTATCGTTTTCAACATTGTCGTTACCCACAGTGTCATTGTCTTTAATAGTTTCAATGGAACTTTTTTCATCTTTAATTGTTGCAGCACTGTCACTTGCCGCTGCCAAATCGGTCACGTCTGTGTTGGTATAGCAATTTACAGTGGAGGTCACCTCTTCTCGTAGCGTTTTTAAAATGGTTTTATTATGTTTTTCAGTGTCATTTCTATTTTCAGCTTTAATTGCAGCTGTCATAATAATATTTTTATTATTTTTGTCAACAGTAGAAAGAGATGGAGCAGAAGTAGTATTAATATTTGCATTGCCATCATTTTTCAAGTGGATTTTGCTAGCCGCAGCCTTGTCATTTGCACTGGCTGTTGATTGTTGTTGTTCAATAAGTTCTGAACTCTCAATATTGCTAGTCTCTTGCATTATGTACTTTTCTATTAAACTAGCCAAGTGCTCCAGTTCCTTCTCTGTAGTTGATATGACTGTTGTGGATGATGTGTCTGGTGTAACTGGTGTAACTGATGTGTTGGTGACGAATGTTCCATTTTCGTTTGTTTGTTCTATACCGACTGTTGCATATGTTACAGGTAATTTTAGTGGATTCCCTACGGGAGACAACAATTCAGTAGATTCACTGTTGTTTTTAGCGTACTGTATGTGGCTACCAACTACAATACTTGCTGTAGGTGCAATGGAATTTATGGGCAATGTAACAGTGCGTTCTGTTGTTACATGTTCCAAATGATTTTGTTGTTCATCTCTTACCACCGGATAGAAAGTACCATTTTTCTGGATAACTGGCTTATTTGATAACATTGTATCGGTTGTGGGGCCATTTGTGCTGCTTATGTTATCAGTTACTGCAATATTTGGTATTTGCAACTGCTCATTCGAGTTTATTTGTGTAGTTGTTTCAATTTGCTTTAAGTCTTCGATTATGGAGCTTAAATTTAGAACATTAGGAATTGGTATAGCAGCAGTTGTATCTAGCATTGCAGATATTTTATGTATAGCAGTCATATCCACATCGATATCTGCGCTTATGTTAAAGTTATGATATATAGAATCGTGTTGATATTGTGCATTATTAGTAATATTATTGAATTTTAACTTATTATATCCAGTTCCTTTTTCACTTGGATTAAGTTGACTACTCGTTTGATTGTTATTCTCTAAAGTAGGTGAATAACTTATAGCTACTATTTCTTCCTCCAACTTTGTGCTTGAATTGTCAACACCTGCAACATACTTTGTGTTCCCTTCTAATATCTTAACACTTGTTTCATCGATTACTTTCACAATTGGATTTGTTGCGCTTGACCAAGTCACATTTCCAAACAATGTCGTACCGTTTGCTGTAGGTGTTGCAATAGTTGTAAATAAATCTTCCATTTTCTCACTTGTATTTGATTTAATGTCGAAGTTATTGACTTCAAGATTTGCTGTCGCGCTATTTTTATTACTAGAGATACCCTTAAAATCGTTCGCCATGACAGCAGCATTCATTTTTGTTGAATTTATGTTGTCTTCGTAGTTCGCTGCATGCAACAAATTGTTTTTGTCTGAAAGGGAATTTATTGTTAAATTACTGATTTTCATGAAATTATTGCTACTCTTATCTGTAATGAGATTTGTACCATTTACAATGTCAATTGCTGTAAGATTTTTTTCAATTGCTTTAATGGCAAAATCCATTGAGTTCATTGGCTGCTTGACAGTTTTTGATAATCCTAAATCAGAATTATTAGACATTTGAGTATTTTGTATAGATGCATTTATATTAACAGTAGGAACTGCTTTATTGTCAACTAAATAATCTCCCATTTTGATTACTTTATTTGTTAGTGGTGTATTTAGAATAATTTTCTGTACATTGAAATTATCATTTGAAAGCATTTCAGTCTTAGGGTCTTCTTTAAGTATCTTTTCATTAACATTTGTTTCATTACTTCCAATATTTTCAATTAAATATCCTATAGTTGAATTAGCCGTAAATGTTTCTTTAACATTTGTTCCATTAATCCCAATATTTTCGCTTAAATATCCTGTAGTTGAATTTGCCATATTTATAAAAGTGTCCTTCGCACTTATTTTTCCAAGACTTCCATCCGTTTCGTTTCCATGTAAATAACCATCTATTTTTTTTACTTCTGCTAAAGGATTATAAAGAATTGTATTTGTATATTTATTTTTAAATTTATTTCTTTCACTGTCACTGCTTATTGCTTCTTCAATTTCTTCAACGTTCTTATTTATAAAAACTAACTCGTTATCCAACACACTACTTGCATTTACTGCACTTTGCATTCCTACAAACTCATCCTTTTCCACATTACTTGAATTCATTGCACTTTCCAACACTTTTTGCTTCGTTTGTTTCTGATAGTTTTCTAATGCTTCATTCAAAAACTTATCTACTTCTTGATCCGTTGTATTTGATTCCAAAGTAAAACCATTTTCTAACATGGTCTGTGTACTTTCCTCAGAAGTATTTAAAATTTCTCCATCAATTTGATCTGTGTTCCTATCCATAACATCCTTTTGCTCCTTTATTTGTGGACCATTCAACTGCAAATAATCCAATTGATGCTTTAGCTTAACCTTATCTAATTCTTTCTTTATAACCAACTCAGGATTTTGTAGTACCTCTAGTGACTTATTAGTATCTGTTTCATTAACAGTTTCGTTCTGCACTTCTTCGCTCGTATTATCAATAATTGCTTCCAATTCATCAATTAAATCTTCCAATCCCACTTTTACTGTCTGTTTAATTGGTTTCGTATAAATTAAATTTATTGCATTTTCTTCATTAACTAATGTTTTATCCAGTTCCACTTTTTTATCGAAGTCATTGTTGATTCTATTTTTATTGTCATTTACATTAGCATAATTAATAACTTTTGACATTTCTTGTTCTTCAGCACTATTCGTTTCCTTCTGCAATGTACTTGTATTATTTAAAGGATGACTACTAACTTCATGTTTAGTATACACCTTCCTTTTACTCTCATCCAAGTCCTGTCGCGAGTCCAACAATACTTCCAAGTTATCTTCCAGTGCGGTTGTTCCCTTCTTAGCTGCATTGTTAGTTGCTTCTGATGTTGTTGCATTTTGTGCTTCATTAATCAAATTGTTCATTTCTATTGTCCTGTTTGCATTTTCTGTATAATTTTGCACTTCATTCACAAACTCAACTGTGCTTTCCCTAATTAAATTTGTTGTGCTTTTGTTCAAATTTTCACTCGTAGTTTTTGCTGTGCTGTCATTTAATGAATTGTTTTTGTCAACTTTTGGTGCGCCTTCATCCTTTATTTCTGAACCAATTTCTGCAGTAGTTTTCACTACTACAACCTCGGGCGGTGTCACCTCTTTGTCCACCAGGCTACTCATTTTGACAAGCTCTTCCATGAGACGTAGTATACGTATTTCATTTTCCATGGCGCTATTGTAATTGGATTCTGAGTGCAAGTCAATATCCTTAGTCCCAGTAATTGACGCATTTCGCTCAAAATCATGCTCCGCATAAATTTCGCTGTTTTGCGGCTTTCTAGTTAGTAAACTTTGTAGATTATATCTGCGCTTCACTGGTCTATTAAATGCGTAAAACTGTACATCGTTCGCTGCCGCCACATTTGCGAGGTTACTAAACTGATGCGCCGCCGTTTGCGTCTCAAAATTTGGACGCCAATGCTTCTTCTGTGCGAACTTCGTATGAGCTTTTCGGTACTTCTCATGCTGTGCGTTCAGCGATTTTTCTGCGAAGTAACAATTTTATTGACATAAGTTTATTAGTGCCATGAATTCACTAACTTATTAAAAATATTACTTACGCAATGTCTGTGTCGTACAGACGAAAATAATCATTAAAACGAGATACACTAAACTTTTGTGACAAAATAACATTTTTATAGTTTCAAAAAAAAAAAAAAAATCACTTGCACATTGATAACTCAAAGGTAAAGGCCACTACAGACTAAACCGATTCTTAGTTATTCAACCAATTTTATGGCCTGTTACACAAAGACCTTTTAATTAGGTTAAGTCGTCTGAACAATACTCAACCAAAATAGTGGAATTTGACACATTTAAACTGTATTTAGCACAAAAAGTTTCAATAAAATTCTTAGAAAGCACAGAAATTCAAAGTCTAATAATAACAGTTCTTAAGCTACACTAGTTAACACATTTCTACTTTTAACACAAAGAAATAAACAATAAATTAATAAAACACCATAAAGAGTAATAAATAAATTCATAAATAATAAATGAAGAATAAACTCATTGTTAAATATATATCACCAAAGATATTTACGTGTTATCTAAACACTGACATTGGGATCAATGGAGAGATGCTTTGAAGAAGACTTAAACCTAGCACCGGTTTTAGTTTTCTTGATCTTGATATTAATACAAATATTTATAACAGCAGTCGCATAATACTAAACATAATGTTTATAAATCCCATTTTTATAAAATGATAAAAAGTATTTCAGTTTTCAGATGATTAGTACAACAATATTTTTTTCATATATAGTAACGACGCAGAATGTTCGTCCCTTTTTACAATAGTTGGTCCTGAGTTGTTGCAATAAATTTTTAAAAAATCAGGAAACAATATTTATGTATTAATTTTAAATATTTATTTATTAAGTTTTATTGCTTCATTTTAACAAAGTTTGTATATTGTATAAGGATATTGTAACCTCGTTCTCTGGCTATGCTCTCGGTTCTTTTCACTTTGGTACCATTGACAGTTTCAAACTCGTCCTTGGGCTAATTTTCGACTAAGTAAGATTTAGTAAGTTTTTATATTCAATATATTAAATAAAAATTATTCAATTTTTATTTCAGATAATATTTAAGATTTTTCTGATATTTAGTACTTCTGACTCATATACATTATTCGCTGTAAAAAGAGTAGAAATAATAAGATTGCTATATAATGATAACTTAAAGGCATTGAAGGCAAGAAACTAAAAATGTGGTGATTGATGATTATTTTATCGCCTGCGTAACATAACCCTAAAATTTTGATTAGTCTTTGAATATTAATTTTACAGATTTCATCTGGTAGATATAGATATAGACTATAAATGATTATCTGAATTTTATTAGAAATAAAGTTTGATGTTAAGGAAGGATGTACTGTCATCTGAATAGGTATATTGCATTGTATCCCTGTGTGTTTATAGTTTACATTGGTTCTAGCACAATATACGTTTGTTGTTAAAAATAGTATAATTTTGAACTCATGAATTTAGCTATCCATTTTATCAGTTAGGTATCAGTAAAGCTAGGAATATAAACAGAATACATTCAAAAAATATATATTGGAAATAACACTAAGAGAATGTAAATACTATCTTTAAATATAAAATAAAGTGCACACAATTAAATGGCAACAAAATAACCTAATGATTAAGATATCTGCTCCAAATGAAATATAGTTAACTGCACTAACTATATCATATGTGCAAACATGACGACTACGTACATGTATGGTTGTGAGCCATAAGAAGAAAAATGCTACTTATCAGATCTATCTTATCACTGCATTTGTCAGAATACAACTTTATTTCGTTGACCCTTAAAGTGCCTATCCGGTATTACTTATACAGACATGTAATATATTGTCTGCTTAAGAAAAGCGCCAAATAGATTTACCAAGCTATAATAAGAGACCCTATACTTAAAAATCTCAAAAGCCAGTTAATGTTCTTTAGGTTTATTCATTGTTACTACAATGACTTCTTATGATTGAAGTCAATCTTATGCCACATCGATTGGTTCAACACTAACTGCTTGCTTAAATCTTCCTCTCTCTCTCTGTTACTTTTTGAAGGTGTTTTTCTTTTTCCGATCTGTTACTAGTGCAATGTACCAACGAAAGTAAAAATACTTTAATATTTATTTTGTTAACTGGTGTAAAATGAGAACATATTTTATTGTATGTGAGATATCATAAATATTAAATCCAAACATTAAACAATAGAATTTGTTTTCATTTCGTTGTACATTCAGATTGTTAAATATTTACATTTATACAGCTTTACTTTAATTCCTTTTATTATGCTAATTAAATAAATCCCATTCTTCAGATATTCCGTAACATTTTTTTTTTTGTAAAGTCAAATGAATTTCCATTTGTGGCCAAGAGATACTTCTTCTCCTATGCACCATATTCTCAGCATTTCATCTGTATTTCGTAATTATTTATGAGTTCATGTTTAGAAATATTCGTGCTTTAGGGAGAAGATGACCAATGAATAATTTCATCTTAATAACATTGTTTTTAATCTGTAACTTTATTCAACTTTTTTCTGTCAAAATTTTGTATTCATAATAAGTATTGTTGTTGTTGTTGAATAATATTTATAGATAAAAATTTGGTCCAAATTTAAATACAAGACAATGGAATTCATTTAAAATATTTGTTAAAAATATTTGCAAATAGAAAATCCAAAAAATCTATAACATTTAATATATGTATAACAAAATATTTTTAACAAAATTAAATTAAATATAATATGTTCTAAATAAATTATACATTTTTTATAAAAAGGTTCTATTCTGAAAGGTTCTATTTTTGAAGTAGAAAAGCACAGTTACATTTCAGAATATATGTATGTGTATTTTATTATACTTAATATCTTCCCTAATTAAAAAAATAATTCACCTACAAGTTCTTCTATGTTCTATATATTACTTATATAGTCAAAAATAGTTTCTATAAAATTAAATATTTTTATAAATAGAATACCCTAGAATATTCTATTTTCTAATAATATACAATAATAAAGTAGAATAAAATATTTAAATAAATCAATACTAAAATTTATAGAGGACCATTTTCTCTTCTTTTCATTTATGGACTACCTTTTAATATCATTTTATGTCGAAGCTATTTCAGCCAGTGCACTTAAGCACTTCTACTTTTTCTTAACTCGAGGTATTTTCAAAACCGCTCTTTACGCCTTGACTGGATTTATGTTTATCACTTCATCAGACTAAACAATAATTGACCTCAGATCTGCATACCTCCCCGAGGAGCCTGTAACCATTCTGAGATTTGTTAAAGCGGTGTTGGTAAGTCTGTCAGTTTTCGTAAATAATTTTAGGGCTCTATCCTTTCTGTATTTTTTGATGGGATCAATCTTGATGTCCCTGAGGATGTCATTCATCCCAATGTAGCATGGAACTTAGAAAAGTCTTTTCAGAGCCCAGAGTCATCGGAATCTATCGGAACCTAATATTGGAATATCAGTTGTATAAATGTTGTAGAGAGTGAAGGAAAGTGGTGATCCACTTTTTTAGCATTAATAATTACTTTTTCATTATTAATGTGAGTACCGAAGTAATATATTCGAAAAAAAGAAACAGCTTTCAAATGAATTCTGTAGATGTATCAGCTTTACAGATTGAATTATTTTCATATCTATAAAATCTGAAACTATAGTAAACTATAAATTGTTATGATAACAAATTCTGTACAGCTAAGATGTTTGTATTACGATTACAGTTTCATAAGCGGATGTTGTGCAACAATAGATTTTAGTATACCGAAATAGCTAAACCAAGAAATTTTTTCTAATACTCTAATTGATTCTTGATTATATCTTGATCAAACTTTAAAGATGCAAATAGTATTGCCTCCGGCGCGTTAGTTAGTAGCCAGAAAGGAGAAAAGAGTTTGAAGAACTCTCTAAAAGTCTCACTCAAAAGGTATCAAAATATTATATTTATACCCATATACTAGTTTATTACATTTACATATATTATATTTATATTAATTATTAATCATGCATTAGGACTATTTAATAACGAAAACAATTTTTTTCCATTTATGATATTTCTGCCCTTATCTGAAAATTAACTCCTCACTCTTCAAGTAAATTTGTGATTACAAGCCTTACATCAGTGACAATGAAGATCCACAAATAACCATAGCATATGTAAAAAGTCTCTCTTAGATAAATCAATGTACCCATAAATATATTTTGTCGTATTCAAATTAAGTGTTCAACTTCTTCAACAAATCTTCTTTTATAGATTGCAACTACTTTAAAGTTACCAACTATAGGGAAGGCGTCCAGGTATATGGAAGGAAGGCATACTAGATTCTGAAAGAAAACAGTATCACTTCACATGATATTGTATCATGTGAAGTGGTTATGGCACATCATCGAATGCTTTCGTTGCTTTTTTTAACAAAAAGTCTTCCACTACGAATGCCTTGCAAAATAGACTGATATGAAGATATTGCTTAATAGAACTTTAGAAACGGGTACCAACTTCTGGGATGTTATTATCAATACCATACAGTACTACCAACTTAAAAAAAAAAAAATTATTGCAGTATTTTCGACATGCGTTTTTCGAATTATAAATTTCGGGTACTTTTTGCAAAGTGGAAAAAACAATAGATCAAAATTTAAAAAATTTTATTAAAATCATACTCAACAAAAGGTAAGAAAGAGTCACTCAAGAAGGAGTAATAAAAGCATGCGATAAATTATGCCTCTACAAGAAAATAGTATTGAAATTTAACAAATAAATATATAATTAATTAATTCAATTATTCTACAGCTGGTTTATGATTTTGCTCTAATATAATACAGCAAGCATATTAATTAGTGAGCTTCTACAGAATGTTACCAAAATTCTAAATTCAATCATATAAGTCAAGTATAGATTTGAGTCAGTTGTATTATGAACACTGACTCTGAGTTCAACCCTTCTTACTTGCAGTCTCAAAAATTTACTTACGAATAAATAAATATAATAATTAATTCCAAGATAACTCCTAGACAACACTCAAAAATACCATACATATTACTAAAAATAATAAAAAGTTGTTGTTATAA